CGGGCCCAAGGTGCACTGGGCCCAGGCGGGAAAGGTCTCAGCGGAACGCGTCACGCGAGACCCGCGTTAACAGCCCGTTCGTAAAGTCGAGCTGACACCAACCCCCCCGGCGCGGTGCGAAAAAAAACGGTGGTGAAAAAAGAGCCCCTTCATACAGTCGCGCCGACACCAACCGCCCCCCCGAAAAATGGAAGTAAACACAAAACCCCGCCGGGCCTACGAATCCGCGCCAACACGTACCCAAAAAAAAAAACGGCCCTTGACAAAAAACTGCGCCGGGCCCAAGGTGCACTGGGCCCAGGCGGGAAAGGCCTCAGCGGGACGCGTCACGCGAGACCCGCGTTTTCCTTTATATGTATAGAGATAATAGTAACAAAGAACGAATGAACCAGGACCAACGTCTGAATGCCCTCCTTACTGCCAGCCACAGAAGCATCGACCATCGCCATATCCTATACCTTCCTCCAACTATGTCAAGCAGGTGGCTATGGCGGACTGTTGAGTGAAGCTCTGATGTTCAGAGGACAAAGCAAAGCTACTATGTCCTTTCTACTATGCCGCCATGCCCCTCTACTGCCCCAAAGTCATCCTTGAAGATGTCAACCCCAGTTGGGGCCTTCCAGGCGCAGCGCCAACCAAGAAGATGAAGATGCAGACCACCATAGCCAGTTAAGCTTCCCCCGTCATCCTCCTCCTTACCCGATGTGTTCTTCCTCCTCATACTACCTCCCACAAAGCTCCTCCTTGGTCCACTCCATCATAGCTGAGGCGGGAGGCCAACCCCGCCTTCTCCTTCCTCAGCGCTGCTCCAACCAGCACTTGCCCAAGCATCGTGTCTCCAAAACTTGCTCGTGCAAATGAGGAAGGTCTCTTCGCTCTTCCTGAAGATATACTGGCCAACTGCCTCTTCAAGCTGTGACTTTCCAGGTCGCGTGGCCTCCCAAGTTACGGGTTCCTTCTTTGTTTCCAGGCCGCGTGGCCTCCCATCATTGCAGTCTGATATCCCTCGCTGCAAGCCCTAGACTCAGACTACTGGACGGGTATCCCTAGACCCTAGGCCTACCAGACTCTGAAATTCCTTCGGCCTCTAAAGGTACTAACTTTTTATATTCTGCCTACCTACCCGCGACTTGAGTGTTTTCCTTCTTCCGCGGGCCTAGCCTACGTCTAAGTTCCCGCTGCAACCCCACAAAGCACAACCACAGGTAAGTACCAGGCCTGATGGCCTTGCAGCACACGAGTACCCTCGTGGGTCACACACACACCCAAGCAATCATTCAGTCAGACAAACACATGGAAACTCAGCAATCATGCATACACATGTACTTGGAAACCTCAGCAGAATACCGGAATCTGGGCAAGTCACTCAGTCCAGCAGCAAAACTCAGAGAACAGAAGTCTGATTTTGCAGGTCATTAGACTCAATGACATTACAATACTCTCATAAGAGCAGACTCAAAGAAAGGGTGGGAGACAGAAAAAACAAAATGCACATATAAGACTGAAAAGAGTGAAGAAGAAAAGACAAGGTTAATTATCGACTGTTTCATCAGACAGGCACTGACTCGTCGGGAGGTTGAACCCTCGAAAAATCTGAAGGATTCCCCCACAATGCTTAGAGTCATAACCAACTTCAAACCCTGTTGCAAATAGGTGAACACTGCAAAGCATGCAGTGCATGTACAAGGCAGCTTATAGCATAGCATAGTGGGCAGCCAGGGAGGCATGCTGGTGGGCAGAATGTGGTAGGGGGGGGGGGAGACAAAACCACACAGCAAGGCACATAGCACAATAGTACAAGGCAGCAGATAGCAAGGCAAGGGGGCAAGCAGACGGGTGAGCGGGCAGGGCACCAACAGAGCAAGGCACACAGCAACATAGGATCCCATGGGCAAAGCAAGGAACAAAGTGGACTATCACCTACTCACGTCATATAAAACAAAAAAACAGCAGACTGTGGGTTCGCACCACCATCAGGAGCCAGGAAGCCACAGGACAGATGTCTATCACCAAAGGAAAAACAGACACACAGGCGTCTCAGACACAGCAGCCCCCCTAATAGTGTTGCAGGCACTCTGCAGAAACAGTTTAAGGGTTATTTGGCACAACTTAGGTGCCATTGTCTTCCCCCGAATAGAGGGCACAGTCATTATCGCCGTATCTAGACTGAAAGTTGCCCCAAGTACAGCTATAGTGATCATATGTTTCATTCGGGGGAAGACGGTAGACTTCAGTACATAGAAAAACATAGGATGGCCAAACCACACAACAAGTAGACACAACACTAAGGAAATACTTGGGACAAAAAGGAAAGGAGTTATTGGTAATAATAAAATGGTTCTGTGTGTGTGTTTTGCCTCAGATGATCTTTCAATTTGTGTGGAAACGTTGTGTAGAGGCCATGCTAGGCACCTCTGCAGAGAACAGACACACACACAACTGCGCATGTTCTATCATATTGTCCATCTATACTTTTTTGCTATGGATCGTTCATTATGATTTGTGGAGGAAATGAGAGAGAGAATTTAGGGTGCCTTAACAACACGCACACACACACACACACACACACACACACACACACACACACACACAGAGAGAGAGAGAGAGAGAGAGAGAGAGAGAGAG